CATGCTAATTTTTTAACTGATGACCTTGTGTATGAGGATGAATAAAAGTGCTGTTTCTGATAAGATAAATTCCAAGGTAGAAGGATGTATAGATGTTGATGGTGAATTAAGCTGTAGGGTTTACTCACGACGTGGTTTAAAATACAAGACCTTTTCTTTTATCGTTCTAATAAAAGTTCTGGTGAATTTTGAATATTACTTCGCTCATCGCTTCCATTTGCGCCATCTATATCTTCACGATGTTTTACATTTTGGCTGCATTGCTTGGTTTTTCGCTTTCCTTCCAACACAACGCTTTTGCATGTATTCAGTCATTTTTTTGTAGTGTTATTAAAGGTTACTCTAATGAGGTGATGAGCTGCATGTTGAATTAGTGGTCCATAATGGCAAAACAATCTATGGCGAAAGTTAGGCGAAGAGTCAATAGGCAGGGGAAAACGGTTGTCATTGGTGATGGAGAGGGAGACAAAATGGTTACAAAGGCACCAGAAGATGAAAGCGATGTGTTGCTTGATTCAGAAGCGAAGCTTTATGTCCCAAATGGAGATCTGGATCTCGAGTGGCAGCCATCACTCACTTCTGTTTTTAAAGTGGGAGTTCTTTTTTAACACCTTAGAAGTAAATTCATTTATGGTTTAGTTCTTTTAACGATGGTTCAGTACTGTTATTGGAGGGTGAAGAAAAGATGACAATGAAAAATAGAATACTGGTAACTTTACTATTTTTTTATAACAGATCATATTTTCTTTTCGCATGGCAGCGGCATTGTGGAGTTCCATCTCAGACTGTGACGAAGTTTACAATTATTGGGAGCCGCTGCATTTATTCCTTTACGGTAAAGGTTTTCAAACCTGGGAATATTCGCCAAAGTATGCCATCAGGTGAGCAATTATTTTTTGTGGTTTTTTCTAAACGTTATAAAATTTTTGTTTTATTTCATCTATTGAGTTCTGATTAAAGGAAGGGGCGTAGTGAACGATGAGCAAGCCGTGGAATCACAAATAATATTTTTGTTGAACGCTTGGAGATGCTGTTTTTAATATTTAATTCAGTAATAAGAATGCTTCTTGTTTTTGAAATCATAAAGGTGATAGGCTAACTGCTACTGACAGAAGGTTTCTGGTTGTTTTTTTCAAGACAACTACTTGTTTAGGTCATATTTGTACGTGTTGCTTCATTATGGTCCTGCTTATCTACTTCAGTCAGTGTTCACTTCCCAGAATAAAATTGGTGTTTTTATAACGCTTCGATGTGTTATTGGCCTTTTTTCCGTATTTTCGGAATTAGTTTTCTACAAGGCAATTTGTAAACGGCTTGGCAACAGTGTAGCACGTTTATATGTCGTGCTTACTGTTTTTTCTGCTGGGATGTTTTCATGTAGGTAGGTTAATTAAGTGCTGAATGCTCTTTATTTCAGTTACATGGTTTGGCGTAAGCAAATCGTTATTCCCTTTTAATTGTTCTCATTAAAACTAGGTAGTTCTTCTTTTTCAGCTGTGCTTTCCTCCCATCTTCGTTCAGTATGGCTCTAAATACTTTTGCTCTTGCAGCGTACATGTACCATCAGTGGTATGTTTTATTTTTTTCTTTCCTGAAACTTTTGCTTTTATAATTTTTAAATTTATTATAGGCTTTTATCCATTCTCTGTACCGCAATAAGTGCCCTAGTTGGTTGGCCGTTTGCTGCAGTTCTCGGTCTTCCAGTCGTTCTTCATATGTTAGTTGTTGCTCCACGACGACTGTTATTTTTTTTTATATCTTATTCGCTTTGGGCGGGCACTGCTGTAATCTGCACTCTTTTTTTTGTCGACTCGTACTACTATGGGAAATTAGTCTTGGTTAGTTCAATATTAACCTGTTTTCTTCTTGAAAATGTTTCAAGTTATTCTGAAGCGATACAGTTACATTCAGTACTACTTTTATTCAGCTATCGGGAATACATCTAATCTAATTTTTTTTTTTGCTTTTCTTTACAGGCACCGTTAAATATTGTACTATATAACATATTTTCTTCTCATGGGCCAAATCTTTATGGAGTTGAGAAAGCTTCCTTTTATGTCTATAATCTTCTTTTGAATTGGAATATTGCACTACCGCTTGCGACATTTGCAATCTTTTGTGCTGCCTTTACCTTCGTTAGAACACGACGTTCTCAGCAGCAGCAGAGCAATCGCTTCCACTTTGGTTAGTATAATTATGCTACTACGCTTTAATACGGCTGAAGTACTTCATTTACATTTATTTATTTTAGTATTGACTTTATTTTGAAATTTACGCCAGCTTTTCATTTAGAAATGTCCTTCAACTACTGGCAGCCATTTTTGCCTTTATTCTTCATGTTTTTATCTCTTGTTTTATGGCTAGCTATTTTCTTTTTACAACCTCATAAAGAAGAAAGATTTTTATTTCCTGTTTATCCGATATTGGCCGTCTTAGCTGCTGTGACTCTTGATTCTATTCCGAGGTAGGTAATCATCTTTTATATCAGTACGTGTTAAAGACGAATTCGTTATTTTTTTGATTGTTAAATGAAAGAATGTCTTAATATTACCTCTTCAAAGTTATTCCGAAAATTAAATCTTGTATAACGCTACGTTCACTGCTGGCAAAATTGAATTTCTTATATAAAATTAGGCAGCTGGTTTTAGGTTGGGTATGTTTATGCTTGGAGGAGGCTCTCGTCGTTTGTGGTATGTGGTTTTAGTCTTAGCTCTGGCCACCTTCACAGTACTTTCATTGTCACGTTCTATGGCTTTATATAGAAATTATTCAGCTCCTATGAAAATTTACAAAGGTCTTAACGAACATTTAAGTGATCCTTCAAGTTTGGATGATCTGATTGAAATGCGAAAAAATGTAAGGCGTTTGTTTCCTTTCTCATATACCTGTCACAGAAGCATTTAAACATGAAATTATAATGGACTAGAATGAGTGTTCACTTAAGCAGTGATTCTTGATTATTTTAGAAGTTTGTGATACAGTTTATTCGTGTATTCTTTTTAGAAAAGCTCTATCATCAAAGTTTGTGTGGGAAAAGAATGGTATCGTTTCCCTTCCTCATTTTTTCTTCCTTCATATGTAACTGACCGCTCTGGTGGAGTGTGGACCACAGATCTACGTTTTATTAAAAGCGAGTTTGCTGGTTTACTACCGAAATATTATGAGAATGGATCATTACCGCATATTACACGGTTGATACCCACTGCAATGAATGATTTAAACATTGAAGAAACTTCTAGGTTAGTTTAACAAGTGCTTCTATAAAGGTTTTAATTTAATGGTTTATTTATTTTGCTTTCTCAATATTTTAAGTGAAATTTTTGTGAAACGGTTAGGTCACTTCTTGTTGTCTTTTGAATTTTTCGAGATGTTTGGAGTAAAATATTTGTCTGGTTGAAAAGGCGATCATTTTTTTCTTCTGGCGGAAAATGAAACCTTAGGAGAGAGAGTTTGGTTCCCCGGGCGTTCCAGTGAGAGATAGTACCATCTGTTAATTTGTTCTCTGAGTGTGTTCGTTGGTCGAACCTATTTGGTCAATTGAAGTGGGCGTTTTTGTGTCGAAGCATGAATGGAAAAAGTGCAGTGAGAAAGATAGGACCTTCTACTAAAGTTCTGCTGCTAGAGGACAGTAGATACCGGCCAGGCAAATTGCCTTTGAAAATTTGAAGCAGCTGTTGTCTACCTTCTCATCTTATAATGGTTTTTTCAGCAGTATTGGCTGCCTAACTGACCGTTGTATCGTTTAAACAAAGTTGTCTTCTAGAGGAGCGTTAAGCGTTTTGTCTTGAGTTTGTTAATTGACAAAGCGAATGTTTGTCTTGTTTAGTGCGTTTTCTGCGTTTGGACTGCTGGACATAAATCTACAACATTTCTATAAGCTACAGAATCAAGCTATAAACTTTATTTTGTTCTCAGTTTGGTGTCGTGCCGTAAAAAATTAGGGACAAATAACCAGTCAGTTATAGTTCCATTTAATAATGGATCTGCTTTTTTGGCCTTGAGGGAACTGCCAATTTTAATTTGTTGTGAAACGCGGAGGTGGAGTTGAGCAACAGTGCAAGTTTGAAAAAAGAAATTACTGCTAACACCTGAGATGTATTTACTGTTTGTAAAATTCAGTTTAAAGAAGGATGAAAATTTGTTAAATTCTGGAGCAAAATTTGATTTATACTTTTATTTGAATTGGGTTGCAGTTTTTAATTGTTTTGGGGGACTTTTAGGTACGTCGCTGTCAACGAATGTGATTATCTTATTGATTTAGAAACACCCGAATTGGCAGTACATGAGCCAAATTATGCTGGGCAGGTTTGTTTACCCATTACTATCCGCCAAATGATGATCGGTAAACTGTTTTTAAGAGTATTTTTTTTTCTTCAGGTAAATCAGTGGCGTTCTATACTGCGAAGCCCCTTTCTTATTGCCTCATATTCCGATCCTATTTACAGGGCTTTCTACATTCCCTTTACTTCGAAGGCAAATTTAAGATTTGGATCATACCATCTTCTTAAACGAATAAGATAATTTTTTCGAATTAATTAGGGTTTGCTAAAAACGGTTGCTTGGGTAGCCTTGAAATTTTGATACATTTCTGTCTTACAGAAAATATACACATAGCTTTTATGTTCTTTTAAAGCTAAATTTATAAAGCATTAATTTCTTTAATTAAAATTAACGACTAATGCTGCCTTTTTGAGTTCGTGTTTGTTGCTGCCACTGTTTTCTTAATGATTTTTTTTGTTTATCAGAAGAAATGACAGTCTTATGAGATCCACAGAGATTGACATTTTTCTTTGAATAGAGCTAAATAGATTTAGCAAACAGTTGGAGTAGAACTTTGTCTGCTGTTCTTTATCTGTACGCGTAGTTCATGCTTTTCCTAATTCTATTACGGTATGTTGCTTTAAGGTTTTTGTGCTAGTCATTCTTTTAGTAAAGATCAGACAAAAAGTGCCCAAGTGGTTTTTATAAAAGTTTCCAGAGTCATTTTGCCTGATCTTCTTTATCTCATACGGTTTTGGAGTTTTTCTGTTGGTCTATTAACTCTTCGCTTTGTTGTTGCTTGTTAAACCTGTTGATTTTTATTAGTGAATGTTTAATAAATTACAATTGCTATTATTATGGTTTATTGCTCTATTCACACGTTTCACATGTTATTTTCAAAGACCTATTATTGATTTACTCGTTAAATGGTCCGTAATTTTACATTTACGGTGTTTAGATGGTGGGATGTAGATTGTTTTTTCAGTTTTTTGTAATTGACAACAATAAAAGGACTCATATTTCTGGTTTTTTAACAAGTAAACGTGTAATACGTGTAACAGTGTGATACGTGTTCGTCATATTTTAGTCACATTTTTGAAATTTAAGGGTTTTATGCCAGTTTATTTCCCATTTTTTTTTGTTTTAGCTCTCCGGCACGGGTGAAATTTTGCACGAAACATCATTGACTTTCAAGTTTCTTACATTGCTAGATTTTGTGCAGTTTTTTCTTCTGTTTTAATTTTTTTAACTTTTCACTGGCAGGATCATTAATGACCAAAATAGTTCAGATTTTAGATAATGACATCGTATAATAGTTAAACTCGTTTCAAATGGTATGCTTGTTTACTTGACCAGATGGATGCAGTTCGCTTGGAAATATCCCCTTCTGCTTCGCAGACTTCGTTGGAGAAGCAGTAACTGTGTTTTCTCTAAATTTTCAATCAGTTGTTCAATGAATTCATTTTATTTTTCTTTTTTTTGCTTTTAACTAGAACTAATAAACTTAGTTCATTCATTAGTTTTTTTTTCCCCTGCTAGTAGCCTATGGATTCAGTGTGCATTTTTTCAAGCTGGTCAGGTAGCGAATCTGGTCTTAGAGCAACAATATGGCTTTGTGCGTTTGCTAATTTCATCAACAGTGCAGATAGGGTAATAATGCCTATCAGCATCACTGGCTTAGCTGAAGAGTATGGTTATGATCTTATACAGCAAGGTTGGATCCACAGTGCGTTTCCTGCTGGTTACATTAGCTCGCAGGTGAAATCGTTCACGGTTGTAGAGAGCTTTTTCCACATAATGTCGTTAGACATTGTTTCTTTTATTGTTGTGGAGACGAAATAATCACCGTGATAGATACTACCGCTTATTAGTTGCAACCACCAAGGGTGATGAAATTTATATATTTTACTTATAAGAATTTAAGGTGATCGGAAGCTGTGCTGGTTCACAGCTGGGAAATCGGCGGCTTTTGTTTTTCGTTGTTTTGCTGTGGTCTTTAAGTACGCTGCTGACTCCTTTCGTTGCTCCATCGTATCATCTTCTTATATTTATTCGAGTTGTTCTTGGCTTGGGCGAAGGACTTGGTAACCAACATTTTTGTTATCTCTTTTGAAGTAGCCATTTTTTAAAATTCATTGACAAGCAACCTTATTATCAGCGAGTGTTTGAAAGAATGCAATGACCAGTGCGGCCGTTCTATTTCCTTACTACTTGACATTTTTTAGGTTTACCAACCATGTACCATATCTTGGCAGAATCCATACCTGTACAGCGTCGTTCATCTGCATTCTCATACCTTGCTGCTGCAGGTTCTGTAGGACAAACAATCGCTGCGATAGTATGTTACTTTCTAATTTCTTAACTGGATAGTTATTTTATACTGAATGAGCAATCGCTGTTTCTAGGTTTGCCCTCATTTAGAATGGCGCATTCCATTTTATGTATTTGGATGCATTGGTTTTTACTGGTGTATTCTTTGGCTGAGATTCACCGGAAGATTACTGTCGGAGGCAACAGCTGAGCCTGTTTTACTTTGTCAAAAGGTTTCCTGTTGAACTTGTACCCTCACTATTTATAAAGCAGTTACTGAACTTCAGAAAGAAATTTATCTTTTTTCTCTCAGATGAAGCACTCGTTGCGATCTTGGGAAAGATTTATTATTCTTTCCCCACTGCTTGCCATTTATTTTGCTCACTTTTGTATGAACTGGACATCTTACGTTATAATGCACTGGTTGCCAACTTATCTTCGTAGAGTTTTTCGAGCAGATCCTTCTGGGATTTCATTGGCTGCATTGCCGTATCTGGCAAACAGTCTTTTTGCAGTTGGTTTGTGTTTTAGTTACTTTTTTTTAATCACTTCGTTGTTTTCATTACTAGATCTTGTGTTTCTCTTTCTGTTCTCTGTCATCTGACGCTGTGATTCTCAATTTCGACTGTAACATCTATTTAGGCACCGGCCACGTTGCTGACTTCTTGATCACGGGACGTAAGTTGTCTCTGAGAACAGTCCGAGTTCTTTCTACTGCCTTTGGACTGATCCTACCTGCACTCTTTATGTTTGCGTTTGCTTTTGTGAGAAACCTTTACTCTGCAGTTTTGTAAGTTTTTATAAGTTAATGGTGATTCTGTAGCTTGCTGTTACTTTGGCAAACCAACTTATTTTTAGGATTTTGTGATATTATTGGGAGTTTTTTTAGCAGAATTATTCTTTAATCCAATTTCCCTTTGTTTCAAGAAATTATAATTAAAGTTGTTTCAAGCCTTGTTTCTCTGAGCATGGGCTGTCTAGCATTTAACTCTGCTGGTCATTTGAGTAATCACGCAGATGTCGCTCCTAAGTTTTCTGGAATAACCTTCGCTGTGTCAAATACAATTGTGAGTTGCTTAAAAAGCATACTTGATTATTGCTTGAATTGTTTGATCTGGTTAAAGACAATAGTTTAATTTTATTTTCATGTTTGTTTTTGGTAATAACTTTGCTAATGATGCAATTTTTAATTCTTCAATGAATTTTTATGTTGATGGACGGTGTTAAATTTTCTTTTTTCTTAATTTCTGTTTTAGGCAACATTGCCGGGTCTTACAGTTGGTCCATTGACGGCAAGGTTGGTAGTTGATTCGTCAGGACGATGGTGGCCTTCGTTTGTCATTGCAGGAGTACTGAATTTTGTTGGAGCTATTGTTTACGCAAATTATGCAGCTGTTAAACAAGTGGTTTGATAATTTTTGTTGATAATTAAAATATCCTTTTTTCCATAATTCTTCTTACTTACGTTCGTCTTTCTGTAGTTCAAACGCTTTATGTTTGCTATCTACTTTACAGATTTCATTTTTATTTCTTTTGTTGCTTTCTCTATGGGCTATCTTTTTACTTCTTTGATACACTCTGGTGATAGGTGAGTAATGTTTAAGAGATTTTCTACAAAGTGTGTGTATATACCAATGTGTCTTTGTGTTTAAGTCACGTAATTATCTTCTAGCTTTAATTTATGGGAGCTGTTTTCTTATTTCATTCTCAAAGGTTCATTGTTGTTATTATTGTGAATCTGTTGATTATGTGATTTATTTTTCGCCTGTTTAATGGGCAC